TTTTGATTTTTCCATTACTTTCAGACCAACCCTTGTATTTGACTCAAAATCGAAAATTTTCATAAATTCGAACATTTGTATTAGGAGAGCATAAGTTGCAATGGGTCTTTTTTCAAATTTTTGATTTTTCCATTACTTTCGGACCAACCCTTGTATTCGGCTCAAAATCGAAAATTTTCATAAATTCCAACATTTGTATTAGGAGAGCATAAGTTGCAATGGGTCTTTTTTCAAATTTTTGATTTTTCCATTACTTTCAGACCAACCCTTGTATTTGGCTCAAAATCGAAAATTTTCATAAATTCCAAGATTTGTATTAGGAGAGCATAAGTTGCATTGGATCTTTTTCCAAGTTCAGAATTAAAGAGCGGAATTAACTTCAACTTTCGATTGTTTTTGGGAACGAAAATCGAACATTAGGACAAAATTTTTGCTTAATTCGCCAGTAAAAGACAACTGATTTGATAATTATTTAATAAATGATAAGAACTAGCTGTGACTTGCTTTATTTTTGTCAAAATATGATTACTTATGTTCTTTTTAACGTTTTTTCGGTCAAGATAGGAACCAAAATCGAACTTCTGCAAAAAATCAAAAACGATCTAAACGCTTTCGTTAGTTTTATTTTTGCTAAATAATAGTAATTTATTGTTTTCATTGCGTTGAGACAAAATAGCTTATTCATTGACAGTAATTGCCGTTTATACTGTAGTAGCTCTCTGTAATACTGTCGAAACCTGCAAACTTAATAAAATTATATTTGACTACCCGCCGCTAGATGTCACTTCAGATAGTGAAATACGAGGGACATTCTGTAATTCCTTAGTTGCAATATAAGGGATAATCGGAAAGTTTTAACATAAATTTACTCCAAGATAATTTACGGTATCGATTCGCTATTTTGGCGACATTTCTTTAATTTTGGCAAAAATAAAGTAAAGGAAGGCATAATTAAATTGTTTTTAATCGAATTCGTTGAATATTGTGTAAAACAAATAAGACTTATGTTTTAATATTTATTTGTTAAAGTCATGCGAAATTGTATAAACAAAATAAAAAACTATTTAATAACATTTCCGATAAACATATCAACAGTTTATTTTTATAGTTAAAGCTATTGATTATATCTGGAAGACAAAATGCCTTCTTTAAAATAATTTTACAGGGAAAAAGCACCAACGTAAGTCATAAATATAATAAACAATAACGTTTTAAAGTCATTTAAACCACATTAACCAAGTTTTGAGCAAACTTAATCAACTTAATTAATTTCTAACATAATTAAATCATTTTAGAAGAGCATATTGACTAAAACTTAAGTTATGCCATTTTAAAGACATTTTTTAATGACTGAAACAAACAGAGCAGCCTACCTTTTAATATTTCGAAATATTTTGACAATTATGAATTAAAATAAACAAAAGTTAATCAAAAAACAGTTGAAGAACCGTTACAATACAAAAAGAAACAAAAAGAAAAAACATTTTCAATCACTAACTCCCATAAAGCCTTATAAAATCAGTTACATGTTTCTTGATGGCGCCACAATTGAGAAGCAGGTATCAAATTAGAGCAAAACTCACATGGGAGCTCCTCCTCATCGTCCTGACGATTGGGGGGTGACGGGGAACGACGTCTGCGATAGTTGTATCGGGTTAAGTCTGGACGACAGCCTGTTTCGTGCTGGATCAGGTCCTCGTGGGGTATAGGAGTGTCGCAAAACTCGCAGGGGATCAAAAGCTCCGTAGGAGGATTTCTATAACGTGGGGGCTGCGGTGCAGGACCTGTGTTTCCATTAATCAAAGAAGAAATAATAAAATTAATGTTTTACGCATTACAACAAGATTACAAAGCAGTCAAAAGTAAAAAGGTTGCAGTTAATATAATTAATAAAAAGGAATATACAAAGTGACTAAAGATAAATAAAAAAGAAGTTATAAAAAAGCATGTGAGTTATTTCACATGAAATGGCCTGTTTTGTATAACATGGAAAAGAATTAATTGGTCAAAAGGCAAAAATATGTTGTTAAAGGCACAAAGTTATAAAAATAAAACAAAGATTAAATGATCCTGTTGTGTATAATGTTAGCGTTATTTCTTTTTTGTGGTGGTTTGTACCTTTGTTATGATTATAATGATTACGTGGGACCGCGCCAGTTGATCTAATGGGTGCAGTTATGCTCGCAGAGTCATGAAGTAAATTTCGGATATATTCAGTTTTACCTAAAATATTCATGTCACAAAGGAAATAAAAAAGAAAAATAAAAACCTTTTAAATTATTATTTATTATTAAAATGGAATTTCTTATTACGACAGAAAGATGTGAATGTGTTACTTTTTTTATTTTGTGACAACGAAGACACAAAATGAATCTAAAAAAAAAAAAGAAAACGAATACTTACAGTCCAGTCTTCGGGAAATTTCTTTGCTGCTTTCCAATTTTTCTGACTTATTAGAGTTGAGAGAGTTAGATGAATAGCTCGACGTAATTCCATATGAAGGAGGGATGAAATTTTCAATTCCACTAAAAGTTCTAAAGATCGAATTCGAAGAACGATTTCTTCTTGTCGGAGACTCTGGGATAGAAGTCCTGCTGGGACTCTTTGAGGCTTCCCATGAAGGCCGAGGACCTGGCTCTACAAAAAAACAATTACATACATAACTTATGCTATAATGGTATTAAAGTCTCTCTATAAAACTTTATTTGATCTGAAAGCGAGTATTATTCTTATANATTAGAACAAAATCATTTAAAAAACTCAATACATTGAATGAGGTACTTTTAAGAAAATAATTAACGATTATAAATTTTCTAGTCTTTATTGTCTGTACAATTAAATACTAATTAATAAGTTAGGCAAAGTTCATAAAGAAAAATCCTTTTCAGTGGACTCCAGAGATTACCAACGCATTCGTTCCCAAGATTTAGAAGATTACAGGATATCGGGACTATCCTGTTTTAGTAACTGTACCCCGGCATCCCCTGATGATGTCTATTACTACTTGTGGACCCGTGAATACTATGACGAACCACTTTTATTAACTGACGAAACAATTGATCAGTTAGATATAACATTAGATAGTAAATTTATTATGCACGGCTGGAATGAGGGGTACAACACGTCTTGGATTGAAGCCATGAAGGATGCTTATCTCAGAAATAATATTTGCAACGTTATTACTCCAGATTACATCACATACACACTGTAAGAAACATTTAATATTATATATAAAAAAAGTATGAGTGCTGTCAGTGTACGATGTGTTGCATACCTATTTACAAACAAAAAACCATAATGGCCGACATCAGTAACAATGCGACAACAATTGAAAAAGAATGATGGCCGACAACTGCAACAATTAGAAAAGAATTATGGCCGACACTACGTCATAATGGCCGANTTTTATTTTGCTGTATAACTTTTGTAGAATAAATCTGATTAAAATTGTTGATAAAATGTTAAGTGTGTACTCACCTAATTTTCCCGGAAATACTTTCACATGCCTCTTTCCTGCACCACTGAAACTACAAAAAGAGTAATTTTCTTCTTGTGTTTTTCTTTTACTACGCAGCTTCCCAATCTTGATGACGTAGATTACGTTATTGATTGATTTTCAAAACGTGCTATCAACACAGCTAATAAAAGCAACACGATATTTTACTTAGAAAACAAATTTTGATAATGAATGATAACAGCGCAAAATCACTTGGGGTAAAAGTATTTTTAGTGAAAACAAATGTTTCGTGCTACAACCACATAGATAAAGTCATTCAAATCTGAAACACAGGTACTTTTTTTTAATGTTGTATTTACTTGAAAATTAGTAATAAATTACTATTATTACTTGAAAATTAGTAATAAATTATTATTACAACTTTTTTTTACAACGATTCAACGTTAATTTTAGATGAAAAATAAATGGGACAGTAATGGATTATATAAGGGAATTCGATATAAGATTGGACAAGGAGTACTATTATGCAGGGGAGCAAATAAACGGGATTGTGGTATTGGATACCATAGAAAATTTCAAATTAAAAAGTCAGTTTACCTTCTCAAATACTTTTGTTTAGTAATAGCAATCAGTGAACGTGTTTATTTTTAAATTTGAACGAAATATTTTCTAGGACAATTGACTGTTACCTGATCACAATTAGCTTTAATTTCATAGTAACATTAATTTAAAATAAATTCTCATTTTGGATCTATAGTATACTGAGTTAATTTTAGGTTTTTAGGCTGCATACAGATTCAATATACATACTTTGTGTACTGTTACTACACCTTTACCTGGTAATTATAAATGAATTTAGTTGTGAGTATTAAGAATCAATGTACATACCATCATTTAGTTTCAAGAACCCGTGGTTGGTGTCTTGGTGTAAATCCCTGTATTTGAACATGACAATTTCCCCACAATCAGGGCATTTATCTGTCCTTGCCCCGCAATAGTTTTCGTGGTCGTCCAGATCCAGCTTTGGCAACTCCAATTCGCAATATTTACAGGGCGTCAGAGAGCTTTTTGACGAAGTCGGAGGCTCAACTTTCTTCTGAACCGCTCCTCCAAAATTGTTATCATTCTTTTGGCTTTTGTTCTGATTGTAATCTACCTTGTTGTGCCTTGCTAATTGTGGGTTTATATGTCTCTCATAACCGTTGACTTCTGCAGGCGTATCGTTTTTCTTTGATGAATACCGTCCTACAATTTCTCCACAATCAACAAGTCGTTCCATACGCTGCATTCTAGCAGCTTGACGATTTGCTGCCTTCTTGTCTTCTACTTCTTTCCTTTCTTTAAAGTATGAGCTTTCCTCAAGCCTTGATGGTGGTGTTATCGAAACTTTTCTCAGTGTGCTGCTTAGAGATGATGGTTTTTCACATGTTTTCTTATGGTCTTCAATCTGGGACTTTGGAAAAGGTTCCTTGCAAATGTTACACAGCGAAATGTTTCGCGTGCAATGGGCTGTGTGCATAACATAATTGTGATGTGGAATTTCTTTTTTACTAAACAAATTGAAAGAAAACAAAAATAAAATAATGACCCCTCAAAACGTAAAGAATAAGTCCATGAATATTAATTCAATTACATATTACTACTATTGTGTCGTTATGGGCAAATCATATATTAAACAGCAGTGTCATTTCTAAAAATATACACTTATTTTTAGCAGATATTAGTTCAAAAATGTTTTAAAATCTTTAAAACGTTAGGAAAAATAATCACTATTTACTTACCAATTTCCGCACAACTCCTTCTCTATTTCTTCCATTCTTTAACTATTTCTTTTAGGACTTCTTTACTGTAAAAAGAGGCAAAAGTCAGTTCCTATTTTGGGGAAATATTGAAGGCGTTATTAGAAAAGGTTATGTTCTAAAAATAACCAACATCTCCAAGCCTATAAGTAATGTATAAATTTAGAAATTTGCTTGCAATTTAAATTACATTTGCCAAAAAAATAATCGTCTCAAATGTGGACATCAACTGCGCCGAAATTTCAAGCTATCGGCGATTCAGGACTCGAAATATACTAAGTAGTTGTTGCAATGCGTTGTTAAATTGTTCGTAATGACCGTGTTCTATTAATAAAACATATTCCCTATTGTCCCGACATCCAGAACAACAACCTTTTCCTAATTATAAAAATAATTTACGCTTACCTTTTTACTACTCAAGGGTTATAACTAAAGACGTAAAAGAGTTTTAATGTGAGTTTTTAACGAAAACAGCAATATTTATTGTACTGTTAGTCCTTTTTTCCTGTAGGGTTTCTCTTTGTATTTCTCCCTCACTGTTTAAAAAATTGGTTTTCTAGAGGATTTTATATGATTATTAGAATTAGAGGCATAATAATTGATATAACTGCTAGAGTATTAGGTGATCATTATTATTTAAATAAGTTTCTAATCAGTGTACATAGTATAAGTACCTACGTACCTTTAAACTAATTATTTTGTATATTAATTTGTGTAAACACGAATAAATTATAATCTCGGTTCTTGATTTGAAAATATTTCACTTTTCCTTTTCAAAATCCATTCCTGTGAGCAATATGAATCAGTAAAATGAAAATTCAATTGAAAGCGAACTACAATTGCAGACAAAATTGTTTAGTCGTCAAGTTGTTGGAGAAGTCATTAAAGGTAGATTGTAACTAAGTGAAAGTTCGATTACAAATAAATTATCATGTATTTACTCCATAAATTCTTAAGACAAAACAAACATTATTTACTTAAAAGAAATGTAGTCCACCAAATTGTTAGGGATTTTCAAATTCTTGGAGATGTTATTGAAGGTAGAAGTGTCTGGCACATTCTTGACACTAATAATAAATTTACGAGCAGCTAAACGACTAAGCTCTAAAAGAGAAGGCATGTAATTCTTGCAATGATAGTCACCATCCAGCTTTAAATATTGGGAAAAATCACTAAATCCTTCTGATGTTTCTATCGTAACATCACCAATGTCTTTTTGATGCAATTTTAGCACGTTGTAACCGCCTAGTGCCACAGCCGTATAATAAAGTTTGACGATCTAAAATGCCTTAATAAGTGACTGCAATAACATTAGGTCACAATTACCTGTAGTCTTGTAAAATTTTCAGTACATTCAGTTAGAAAAGTCTTGCCTTCATGGTGCAATTTTGACCATAAAATAACGGCTTCGATTGGATGATTGCTAACAATCTCTTTCAGTGAGGTATCCATGAAATTTCAAAATTTCTTTTTTAAAATATAATATCCAGGCACATTATCGATGTAAATAAACATCAAATTAAATGGAGGAGACAATAACAATGGGACGTTTCATAGATAAAAGGGGCGTTTCGTAGGCGAGTCCAATGATAAGCAAAAATAATACTACTAATAGTTGCGCTCAATTCTTCTACTTTGAAATGCTCGTCAACTGAATTTTTGTTGAATTTAGCTATTTTATTGTCTATTTAAATTACCAAAGTAATGGAAACTGCTTTCTAATCTTTTAATTTCACAAATGAAATTCAATACGGAAATTCGTTAAATATTTTAATTGCTTTTGTTATTGAGTGCTTTGTTCCTGATTAGATTTTTATTACCACCAGTGTAATATCATATCTGTAACACCTAATATGATTACACTTAAAGGATAAGTCTTAATTGCTTTGATACTTATATTCTTTTCTTTTGGTATTATTTGACTGAAGAACGTTTTATTTTTGTTCTATTTTAATAAACAAATGTGAGGAAAAGAAATTTATTTAATGAATTGTATTTCTTAATAAATATAAGTCAGTAAGAGATAAGAAGAAGGTCATTTCATTTGTTTATTTACAAATTGTTGCCACAATATCTGCGTGGAATTCATACTTTTCATTTAGTATTTAAACAGTCAGATACTCAGTACCAATATCCAAATATTTGAATTGTTCTAATTTTGCTATGCTATCCTCTATTTGGTCAATTTGCTCAAGATAAGGCTGCAAACTATCACCTGAAACATTTTGGGATGAATTATCATAACAAAAGTTTTACAAAAACAATTACATTTCTCATTTAGTTCTGTCATGTTTTTGGAGATATTAGCAGCAATGTGTTTCATGTCAGTGTATTTTGTAACGGTGGCTTTGTTCATAGTCTCTAGGAGTTTGTATTCCTCTTGCGTTGAAGTCAGCTCACCATACAAATAATCTGATACTTTGGTAAACATAGTTGTTGCCAGTCGACTAAGTTTAGGGTCGTGAGGGTCTAAAGCTTCAAAACTAGATGTTGATGTAGATAAAGTAGGGCCTAGAAAATATTTTATTAAAATTACAGATGTTTGAAGGGGTTGCAGTATGATAATAAAATTCACTTCTTCTTGCTTCATGAACATGAAATTACAACTTTAAATGCAAATATTTGTTGTTTCTTGAAAATATGTACTATTTATTTAAAAATCGTTATTATTTAATAGATATTTTACATTTCTGTTTTACACAGTCACGTTTCTGCGTTCCATTTTCTCAATATTTAAACGAAAATATACCTTTTTTGGGAGAGTCTGTAACTCCATCCTGAGGCAGTTGTTCACTCATTTTTGTAAAGTCCAATTTTGTCTTAAATTCGCATATTTTCTAAATAAAAGATAAAAATTGCGACTACAGTGACACTTATACGACTCGAGGTTATGTTTTTCAAAACAAATAGTCAAGCATAGAATGGTCAAGTCTCATAGAATGTGGCTACATAAACGATAACCTTGTTTCACATTNTTTTGTTTAGTAATAGCAATCAGTGAACGTGTTTATTTTTAAATTTGAACGAAATATTTTTTAGGACAAATTCAACCTTCAACTAAAATGTAATTTAGGTCAAGAAAAAAATTGAAAATTTTTGTTTTATTTTTAGCAATACGAGTTATACTTAGAGGAAAGGCCCATGCCGAATGGAAGGTAATCTTATCGGGTGATAGGCGCACAGTAAGTACCCTGTGGGTGGTTTCACGTTTTGCGACGCACAACTAAATAAAACTATTGTTTTAGATCCGGGATGATCAGTATTTTATAGACGAAAGGCAAGTGATTTGGGGCGACGCTGATCTCGAAACACCGGCATCAATTCTTCCCAGGAACGTACACAAATTCCCTTTTAGGTACCGAACAAAAAAAAAAACAAAAACAAAAATTTCAAAACACTTTTTCAGGTTTAGCCTACCCGAATCAAGTCTTCCCTGCTCGTTCGAAAGCAAACCCTGTTGTATCAGGTACTACATCAAAGTAACCCTGGAAATCCCCTACGCGAGCCCCCCGCAGGGGATGAAGTACTTTACGATAATTGGACCACACATCGACTGCATGGAAGAACAATACTTGGTAACAAATTAAAAAATACCTGAATACAGACCTGTGCATATATATTATATGTTAATTTAATTACAATTATAATCATAAATATTAATTTTTTTGACCAAAAAAGCAAAAAAAAGATTGTTTTACATCAACTTTTAGAAACCGATAGTCCTTCAGGACTCCAGGAGCGTATGCTGCTGGTGTTGTAAGACGGGAACACTCACCCTCAGGTGTACGTTGGAACGTTCAGCTTACGTTTGCAATGAAAGTTTAAAGCTTAAAGCAACGATTGATAATCAGGGAGAGTCCGAAGTTAGACTGAGAGTGCAATTCGTTCAACATTGCGAATTTTTCATAGACAGGGGCGTACTGGGGATAAACAAAGAAACCAAACACATCGTGTTCGAGTACAAGTACGTAATAAATGTACAGTATGTCCATCAAGAGTTTCGTTTTTGACTTTTACCAGGGGCGACTACGTAAAGCAGAATTCGCGAACGAAATGGGACAGTGCCAACAGTTTGGTAATTCCCACCATGCCCACCAGTTTGGTGGGCATCTGTCGTCTAGCTCAAATTTATTACGTTCTAAGTGTGAGTACAATTCGATCAAAAAAAAATTTTTTGGCAAACATCGATATCGGCAATAATTTGTAGGTCAGTTTAGATAACGAGAAAGACATTGACATTGTACACCTGACATTTCCCATCACGATTGGAAACGTGCCATTCAGGATTCCCAACTCGAGCGTTGTCCCAAAGGTCAAATACGGTAAGGAGAAATATCAATTGATAATTGAATTCTAAATCCGTAAAATATTTTTGGGTCTGAATTTTTTTACACTTAATTATTTTTTTATTTAGAACCCGCTTGTTCCCACGTGGAGGGAGGCTTATACACTGGGCCAGAATTTTTGTTGGGCCAGGTATACGATGGAACCGATAAAAGTACAAGGTAATTTTTTTTCGCAATTACTTTTGAGGTACCTACAGTTCTTAACAAAAATAATGAGTCAATAAAAAGAGTTAGGCTTTCACGGCTAACATTATCTGAATAATGCTTGATATTCGGCCATCGAGGACTTCATCAAGTCCAGATATCAAACATGGTTCATATAATAAGCCAACACTTATAAAATAAAAATAACAAAAGCCTAAAAATAAATAATAAATGAATGCATCATAGCCCGATAGTCTGTTGCATTGTTTTTGAAGCAGATTGTACATTAAAATTAAGAAAGTAATGCATTTTATGTTATTTTAGAGAATCGATAGTACTGTATAGGCCTGTATATGTAGCAGTTGAACGTAACACATCTCAAGATCCACACAACTAGCATTTAAGTTCCTCAATGGGCAATAAATAATTAATCTCAAAAAAAAAAAGAAAAACGAAAATTGCAAAAACAATTGTAAAAGTAGAACGAATAGTACCTGGTTTTAGCAAATACCAATTATTTTTAACAGGTATTTTTTTAAACAAACCCAAAAAGATGTGAACGTTATTTTGCAATGTTTATCAAAATTAGTGCCTATATAGAACATATTAACAAAAAAATCAGGCACTGAATTAGAAGAAAAAAATATAATATCTATTATATGCATAGTTTGGAATGAAAACAAAAAAAATTTTAAACAGTTGAACACACAACTATTACACATATACAATAATATGTGTAACACCAATTTTTTTTATATTGACAATAATAATATTTTACCCGACTATTTTTATAGAATTTCCTTTGAGTTAAGTACAAAGTTTTTGTTATTTGATTTATCTTTGACAAAAAAATTAACCAGTATTATAAAAAAATAATGAAAATAAATAAAAATGTACTTAAAGGATAATAATAACCGATGTATTTATAATAAGAAGAGTGCGTCTAAAAAAATTTCTTTTTTTTTTGTCAGCATAACAGGGCCGCATTCAGGCAAATTTTATCGTATTCACCTATAAAAATATATTGAGAACAGAAAGAAATTTTTTTTGGTACACTTTGTTTGGTAATATGTGTAAGAAATATTTAACCGATTGCATATGAAAGTGTATCGAACTATTATTAGTATTGGAAAAAGCGAAATGTTTGGCCTAACAACAAATAAAAAAAATTGCAACTTAAAAAACCAAACAATAATTATAAGACTCGATTAAACAAAAAAGGAAATCCAATGTGCCAAAAAAAAAAAAAAAGAAATTCCAAGAACTGATACGCTCCAATTAAATTATACAGGGTGATATAATCAATTACCTATATCAATCACGTCAGTTTATATGTATGTATATTGCAAATGTGT